TCTGACAGGCGTGAGATGGTATCTCAGAGTTGTTTTGAGTTGCATTTCTCTGATGGCCAATGATTTTGAGCACTTTGTTAAGTGTCTTTCAGCCATTTCAGATTCCTCTGTTGAGAATTCCCTATTTAGTTCTGCACCCCACTTTTTAATTTCATTGTTTGGTGTTTTGGTGGCTAGCTTCTTGATCTCCTTATATATTTTGGAAATCAGTCCTCTGTCAGATGTGGGATCAGTGAAGATCTTTTCCCATTCTGTGGGTGGTCGTTTTATCCTACTGACTGTTTCCTTTGCCTTGCAGAAGCTTCTCAGTTTCAGGAGGTCCCATTTATTAATTGCAGACCTCAGTGTCTGTGCTACTGGCGTAATGTTCAGGAAGTGGTCTCCTGTGCCAATTTGTTCAAGGATAGTTTGAATTTTATTTTTAAAATAAGGAGCTGAGAAGATAGTTTCTGAAGCCTTTCTGGCTCAGAAAGTATAAAACTATAAAATTCCATACATAGTTGCTTTCATAGAATTTTCTTGTCTGTCAGCTGGGTAAAATTAATAGAACCAATGTAAAACTTTAAAGAACATTTCTTACCTTTTTATCCTTTGAACTTGTGGTCCTACAGTGACAGATTTGCCAACGCCTTCTTTTATATTTCAGACAGATTATGAGGGACAAGCCAAGAAGCTCCTGGAGTTGATGGACAACACGGATGTGATCATCGTTGCTGGAGGGGATGGGACGCTGCAGGAGGTAGGAGGCTCCCCCGCCCCGGAACAGTTCTAAGGGGAGAGAGATGAAAATGAAGCTCTAGGACAGGAGCAGTGACAATTGAGGAAACTGTTGCGGTTCCTTGTTTCAGGGCTGCTGCTTTCAGACTAATACAGCCCTAAGCTTTTCTCCTGTACTTGTCAGTCCTTCCTCCCAGCACAAAGACGGCTTTATATTTAATCAAAATTACTTGACAAAATTAAATAAAACAAGCAAGGCTGTATAATTAAGCACTTAGGATGCAGTGGGGGATCTTGAGTTCCAGTTAATCTTGCGCTACATAGCAAGATGAGACCTCAAGTCATCAAAGGACGGTTTCTCTCAAGGAAACACGCTCTGCCCACTCACATCATTGTCGTGCAGAAAGTTAACTCTGAAAAGTGCATTTACAGGGAGAGTTGCTGCTTGTTCTGATGTCTGAGTCTGTCTTGTCTTCTCTTGTAGTTTAAGGTTGGTTGTTTGGCAGTCAGTGCTATCAAACAAACCTCATGTATGCTAGGCAAGCGCTCACCCCGAGCTATATCCTTAGCCCCGTCTTTGTTTTAATATTGGTATCATTTGCCCTTAGTGAGATGCTACCCCCTGTAAGCATGGCCAGGATGCGTTACACAGGCGGCAGTACTAAATGCTGATGAGGGTGGGGCAGTAGGACCTGTCATTCATTGATGGTGGGAATGCAGAACAATTCAGTCACTTTACCTATTAAAACAACCAAAATCTGGGCAAAGCAAAATGGAAAATGAGTGTTTTCACAGAAAACTGAACATACATACTCTTGCCATGGATTCTAGCAACTGTGCTCATTGGAAGCTATCCAGAGGAGTTCACAACTATTGTGCATACAAAAAAAAAATCTGTACATGGACATTGATAGTGTCTTTATTTATAATTGACAAAACTTAGAAGAAAGGAAAGTGTCCTTTAATAGGTCAGTGGGTAAGTAGAATTGCATACTCAAGTAATGGATTATTTATCGTGAAAAAAACAGAAAAGTACTATCCAGTCATGACCAGACTTGGAGGGCACACAGTGTTTATTACTGAGGAAAAGAAACCACAAAACGGCTGCAGTTTACAGTTCAACTGCTTGACTTCTGGCCCAAGCCAAAGTGGAGAGAGTGAAAAGATGAGAGGTTGTCTGAAATTGGGGGAAGAGAAGGATGAAGAGTCAGCACACAGGCCTTTCAGGGCAATGGAAATACTCTGGAAACAATATGGATGGCCAAGTGTCACTACATGTTTGTTAAAATCTATAAAGTGGACAACGCTTGAGAACACCAGTCTAAACAGTAAACTTGAGATGGCAATTTTAATGTAGGCTTATCAGTTTTACCAGATGCTGCAGTTTATAACCCACTATATTGCTGTTGCCTTTGACCTCTCCTTGGTGGCTTCATCAGTGTGAGGGATCAGACATGAACAGCAGACTGTCCTATGTTTGAATTATAGGAGCCTTAGTGAGCTTCTTTTTCTAAAAGGCTCTGTTAATGATCTTGTAATTGTTTTTATAGCTTGTTAATGAAACATGCAGAGTTCTGATTGCCTACAAAGAATGAAGTAGACCAGTGACAGCCTGTTTAATACTGAAACCCAGTGAGGTGGGAAAAGAGAAGGGGATGGGATGTGTCAACCTTTATTTTTACAAAATGTTTTTAAAAGACAGTGAATTGTTTATCTGGTGTGTTTGTAGTCATTAAAGTAGGCACTGACTAGAGAAAGGGTTAGTTAGGCATGACGGCTCACATCTACTTCCTTATAGCAAGCAGGCTGAGGCAGGAGGAATATTATGAGTCTAGGCTACCTAACGAGACCCTGTCTCAAAAAATGAATAAAATGATTAACGTTAGTTGTTTAGCCCCTTTGTCTTCACAGCCCTCAGGAAAAACACTTGAGTACAGATTTCTGAATATGGTTAAGGTATTTTTCCTCTGTGTACCTCAAAGGGGTTGCACAGGCTTTTCTGTATAATTGCAAAGAGCTCACATTTTTATAAAACCTACAACATGTAAAATAAGTAAAATTATGTTTTGTAGACCTTGAAACATAATTTTATTAATGTGATATGAAATTTTTATAATTTGTCTTTGTTTTTATTATTATTTCTAGGTTAAGAATATAATCCAATTTAGCCTTGATCATATTTGAGAAAATGATGTGCTTTTAGGATCTAGTACATCATTTAACATAGTTTCTAGAAGAAAACAAGTAAGGTTGTAGACCATGAAATTTGAATCTAGCTTTGTTATGATAAAGAAAATGCATGTTGTTGATAATAATTTTGTTACATTTATAGGTTGTTACTGGAGTACTTCGAAGAACAGATGAGGTGAGCTTGTAACAAAATTTAAACTTTGACCTGTTATCATTCTTTTGTCTTTTGTTCCTCATGATGCATACATACATACATACATACATACATACATACATACAGTATACACACACACACACACACACACACACACGCTGCACTGAGGATTGAACCCAGGGCTTTGGGCATGCTGGGTGAGTACTGTACCACTGAGCTGTACATCCAGCCCTTTATTCATTTAGTTTTTCTTTTGAGACATGGTCCTCATAAATTGCCCAGGCTGGCCTTGAACTTGCGATTCTCTTGCCTCAGTCTCTGCAGTCTCTAGGATTCCAAGCATAGGCCACCATGCTCAACTCCTGGGTTATAGTTTCAATCTAGTGCAATTGTGATAGAATTAGATTTTTGAACAAATGATACAATACTGGTCACTCTGTCACAGGTCACTCTTAAGAACCCCTGGTGGACTTCCTATGTTGGTAATCTAGAGTACCCAGGACCTTCTAACAACAGTTTTTAATAAAAATTTCCTGTAGAATCTCTTCTTCTAGGAATTCTTTCCTAAATTAATAGTAATATGTTCATATGCAAGGAACTAGATAGCCCTGAAATGAATGGACTAGGCTATTTAGTTAAGGGTGAGCACAAGGGCCTGTGTTTGAGCCCAGGATCCATATAAAATCAACTGGGTATAGTTGGTGGTGCGGCTGGTAATCCCAGCACTAGCTGGCCAGGAGAGCCGACTGCACAAGTTTCAAGCCATGGGTGAGACCTTGTCTAAGAAAAATGTGAACAGTGCTGAGGCAACAAGATGGGAAGTTGCCCTCAGGCCTCTTTGTGCACCCTTAATACCCCAACACACACCTGCGCACAGACAAATGTGCATGCATACACAAGAGTGAGCTAGATATATAAATATCTACTTCTTTAGAGCTTAGAAATGCTCAATACAAAGTAAGTTCCTAAAGAAGGTGTTAGATATTTCTGCATGGTTTTAGAATGCAGGAAACTGTACCGTTACTGTGTGTTATTTGACATGTAAGTTTGTAGTAAGACTAAAATAATGTAGTTGGGAAAGAATCATACCAACCTAGCATAATGATTTACTCAAAGAGGAGGCAGGAGAACAGAATCTCAAAGGCCTTCATCTGTCTCTCTGTCTCTTTATTTAATTATGAGATCAATTTATTTCTTAAAACATCAGAAGCAGCTGAGTGTTGGTGGCACATGCCTTTAATCCCAGGACTCGGGAGGCAGAGGCAGGTGGATCTCAGTGAGTTCGAGGCCAGCCTAGTCTCCAGAGGGAGTGCCAGGATAGCCTCCAAAGCTACACAGAGAAACCCTGTCTCGAAAAACCAAAAACAAACAAACAAAAAAACATCAGAAGCACAATAGTAAATGTTCTTAAATCTGGGTTGTAGGCTTATGGGGTTTTGTAACATGTCATTCATTTTCCTGCCATAGGTAAAAATATCTAAGTAGAAACAGGAGATTGTATTCAAAATAGTCTTTAAGAATCTTCAAGTAACTACTGTATATGTAACATTAAGTTAAATCACCTAGTTTGTCATTAACTGACAGCTATTTGACTTACTCTCTTTGATTTATTTGTATTTGAAGTAGCTTATAAAACACTGTCACCTGTCACTGGTCATTGTAGAAATAGTAGATATTTTTAGTTGAATTTTACCTGCATATTTCTTTTTTTTCTGTTTACTTAGAAATGGTATTATTCATTTAGATCAATAACACCTTTCAAAATACATGAATTAAAAAACATTAGAAAAGAAAACAATGACATATAGACTTCCTATGACTAATTATTAGTAATACATATTATTATGTAGACAATAAAAGGGATTGATTATTAAAAACAAAACAAAAAATGATCATGAACAACAAATATGGACATAAGAAATCAAATGTTCAATCATGATGGACAAGAAGAATTTATCTGCATATTTCCTATCTAATGTGATAGCTTAGAGTGACTCTCACACTGGCTAACTGGTCCAGTAGTTGTAAGTCCATTGTTAACTCAGTTTCACACAAATAATTGCAATTCCTGAGTAGCCAGATATATCTTCTCTTCTAAATTCCAAGTCTTTGTGTTTTCATGGACTGTTTATTTTAGAAACTTCTCACTTGGAGTATTGGGAATGGAGATGAGACAGAAGACACAAGCCAGTGCTTTGTCATAGAGGACACACATGTGCCTCTCTGTTAAACCTGATTTTCTGACTATAACAGTTACAACCCTTTCTTCTTTTTGTCCTACCAGGCTACCTTCAGTAAGATTCCAATTGGATTTATCCCGCTGGGACAGACCAGTAGTTTGAGTCACACCCTCTTTGCCGAAAGTGGAAACCAAGTCCAGTAGGTTGTCAATATGGAATGCTAACATTTGTGAGTGATAGAGCCTACGACTGAAACCACATGCATGGTTTGCAAATTTTGGTAGCTTGAAACTTCAGGTTATTGAGAGAGAGCATCCAGCCTTTCAGAGAATTGGGGTATATCCGAGTTGAGTTGTGGTGCCTTTCTAAACTAAATATTTAGTCCTGAAGTCAGGGTGGAGGTGAGTACTTTCTGTCATTGGAGCTGATTGGAGGTGGCATCTCTGATCCATACAGTTTTTCTGTAACCCTTTCGTGAAGGTGAGGACAGATTTGCACTGATTGTTTGCTTTAAGTGCACATGATGACAAATAGCAAGTCTCTTGTGGTAACTGAACTGGTGGCAGTCACTGGCTTCCTTATCTTGGCGATGTAAGGCATTGAAACAACTAAGTACAGTCACATGCTTTTGTGGCTGCCTGGAGTGCTAGGTAATGTGGTCATAGCAGATAGGGAAGGTAACTTGAATTTGAGGCCTGGCTTTTACAGCAGTTAATAAATAATCTTGAGCAAATGGGTGTCAAAAGACTTAAGTAAACGGAAGTACTGGAGGAATCATTACACCATATGCAGTGTAAGGTTTGTGACAGAAGATGTCAGGAAGGAAATATTTGCTGAATGAATTAGTTCAAATTTCTCAGACTTTTTTCTTGTTACAACCTTCTAAGTCAATAATAGTGATACTCAAGTGACTTTTTTATTTGGTTTAAATATTTTCTTCTGCTTTACAGTGTTTCCTTATACTGATTCTTCTAGATTGACTTTCCCTGTTGTAATTTTGAGGGCCAACAATTCTATGCTGTTCATAAAAGCCTGGGTGCATATAGGAAATATGAGACCCTCATTCTAATACTTGTCAGGTATCACACCTTACAGGGTCCTCCAGCCACTCTCCAACCACCCCGAGGCCTAGCAAACAGGGAAAAGCCTTTTAATCAGTCATACTATTTGGTCACAGGTTAGAATCTTTGAGGGGCAGTGGATAATTCCAGATTAATGACTCAAGCATTTTTGCTGATCTGATATAAATCCTATACAGTTTAAGACTTGACTACTTTAGTGAGCTTGCCTTTCCTTGTATCAGTAAAGATTATTGAGCTGCTGTAGCCAGCAGTTCCAACATCATGTCAGTGGTCAGAGACAGGTTATGAACTTGCAGAAACTATTGCCTATCTGAAAGCCAATTTCTACTCACATGTAGACACCCCCAGGATCTGAGATAGTGTTCTTTTTATATGAAGCTATTTCCACGTTTTTTTTTTTGTTTTTGTTTTTGTTTTGTTTTTCAAGACAAGGTTTCTCTGTATTGCTTTGGAGCCTATCCTGGAACTCACGCTATAGACCAGGCTGGCCTTGAATTCACAGAGATCCACCTGCTTCTGCCTAGTTTTTGTTTTTGTTTTGTTTTTCAAGACAAGGTTTCTCTGTATTGCTTTGGAGCCTATCCTGGAACTCACGCTATAGACCAGGCTGGCCTTGAATTCACAGAGATCCACCTGCTTCTGCCTACCGAGTGCTGGGATTAAAGGCGTGCGCCACCAACATCCGGCTATTCCCATGTTCTTAAACTACTATTGTTGCTGCTGCTTTTTATAATTTAAAGATTAATAAAATCTAATCTATAAGCATGCCCCAGGGCCCTTAGGTAATCAGTATCTGCCCTAGGCTCAGAATTTTTCAGGCTTTTTAACATGGCTGCTGCCCGAGGCTATTTAATAAGAACAAAGCTTTGGCTTTGCCTTTGCCCTGCTGTCAAGATTTTTTGTCTCATAATTATTAAAAATGAAAAACATCCTTTTTCTTGGAATGTGGACTGTTGCAGGTAAATAACCCTAAGTGCCAGGCTACAATCTTCTTTATTAGAACTGAGAGCTATTGTTAGAGAATGAAAAATTTGAGGTTGCGTTTTAGTTGTCTTCTGTCAAGCAATTTGGAGAAGCAATTTAATGGAAAAAAGTCTTTCTGAATTGCAATAGTTGGGGCTGCTTTTTAGGTCAGTCTCAAAGGCACTTTCTAAGTGACTCAACCTGTGCCAGGTGCTGTTCATATTAAGAGAGTACAATGCACACATCATCTGTGGTGCTTCCTTCATAACCATATACACTCAGAACAGACTAGCCAGATGCAGGCACGTGCTTCCTGCTTCCTTCAAGTAGAAACTTGTTTTTAAAAACTTTGCTGTCCGCTCCCCAGGCAACATTTATTTTAAAAGGATAATAATGGGTTCATAGATAAATATGGGTATTTTGCCTGCATGAAGAATTCTGGGTGCCAAGGAGGCCAGGAGAGATCATTGAATCCCCTGGAACTGGACATACAGATGGTTGTGCATCTTATGTGAGTTCTGGGAATCGAACCAGGGCTCTTTGCAAGAGCAGCAAGTACTTTTAACTACTAAGCCATCTCTCCAACTCGCAATGGATTACATTACATAAAAGGAAGGAAAGCATTCTAAGACAGCACAAGCACTATTAAGTATATTCAGCAACTGAAATTCATTTATTGATGGCAGGAATGCCAAGTAGTACAGCCTTGATAGGAACTAATGTGGCTGTTTCTTATCACATTCAACATAAATGTGTTATACTTTTTAGGCATTTACCTAAGAGAAATGCAGACATACAGATCCATACAATAACCTAACCCTTATTTGTAGAATCTGCTGCTAGTTGCCAAAAAGCAGGAATAATGCCAGTGTCAGCCATCTCATGAATCGGCTGTTGTACAAATTATGATACATCCATACAACAGAGTGCTATTTAACCATAGAAAGAAGCCATTTACCATGCTGATAAGTCAGTAACATGAATAATCCCAAACTCATGCTTTTTTATTCTATTATATGACAATTCTACAACAGATTAAACTGGATGGTAATTGCCTGGAACCAATGATGGTGGTGGGAGTGGGTTGGCTGTAAAGATTGATGAGAGGCTTGGAGGGATGCTACAAATGCGTATTGTGGTGATGGTGTTGGTCACATGAACACATTTGACAAAATGTATGGGAAGGCATGCCCACAAGGACAGATGGTACTGCATGTGGATTCCAACTTAGTAAGAGTCATTTCAAGTGGAAGGGTAAGTGGAAAGCTGACAGGATTGTTTGCCCAGGATACACAAGGCCCTGGGCCCAATCCCCAGAACCACAGTAGAAATCCAATCCAAACCACACCATGAACTTTTTGGACCTGAACAGGGCGGAGGACACCAGCCAAACAGCTGCCCTATGGTTGAAGAGACAGGCAGGAATACAGAGACATGACTTACCTAGGCAGAGACTCATAAATGCAAGCAGCTGTGGGAATCAGTGCTGACATAGGATCTTTGTGATCAACTCTGAGAGAGTTGCAACCTCATTGTCACCCAGCCTTATGGGTCTCTTATAACATTGTGAGATGCACCTTCACGAGTTTGCTGAAAATCCCACACTACATACTAGAAAAGTGGGAAGGAAGAATTTTGGAGTACTCTGATGCAGTCTTTTCCCCTTACAAGATTTGCGTCAGGAGAAACTATTTTATTCAGAACCCAAACTTCTAGAGTAGTACTGGCGCTTAACAGGGATTGCTGGACCCTCGCTGGCTCTGGCCTTCCTTATGGGAGAAGGGAAATAACCTATCTCCAACCTACTCTTCAGTACTTCCACAACTGATGGGGTAGAAAAGAGGTGAAGATTAAAATGCAAAGTAACTAAACTGTCTTCAAATCTGTGCAGATAATACAATATACTTCTAAATAATACATACGTCAAGGAAGAAGTCGAGAAATTTTAAAATGTTTTGAACTAAATAAAAGCAACTGATAGTGGCGGTTAGAGGAAGTTTAAAGCATTTAGTATACATATTAGAACAGAAGGCAGAGCAAGACCAAGTGTGAAGGCACACTGTAGAGCACACACATGGGAAGGTGACTCAGGAAGAGCGTGAGTTTGCCACCAGCCTGGCTACATAGTCAGACATTGCCTCTGAAGTCAGAGCAGATCACTGTTAACAGAAGGAAAGATTTTTTTTTTTTTTTTTTTTTGAGGTAGGGTTTCTTTGTGGCTTTGGAGGCTGTCCTGGAACTAGCTCTTGTAGACCGGGATGGTCTCGAACTCACAGAGATCTGCCTGCTTCTGCCTCCCGAGTGCTGGGATTAAAGGCTTGCACCATCACCGCCCAGCTAGAAAGGAGCATTTAAATCCAGAGATTAACAAGGGAAAATAATAAGAATTTAATGAAACTGAAAGTAGAAATCAATAGAAAAGCTGGTTCTTAAATAATAAATAGGTTAGCAAATCTCTAGCCAGGAAAAATAAAAAACTAGAAAGGACACAAATGATTAATTTTAGTGATGAAAGAGAAGATGCCACTGCAGAGCCTATGAACATGAAAAGGTTATGAAGGAAAAAAGACAACTCTAGTTCCATGAGTTTAATAACCTTGGAACAACTCCTTCAAAGATGGTTTGGCATAGCTCATGCAAGAAGGAATAATTGGCAAGTGGATTAATTAACTGGTGCATGCAAACAGTGGAATCTCATTTAGTGGTAAAAAGAAATGAAGCCACAGAACAAAAAACACTTGGATGCATATTACCAAGTAAAGGAAAACAGTCTGGGAAAGGCTACACTATATGGCTCCAACTGTTGGAGATCTAGACTAGGTAAAATAACGACAGTAAGAAGGGGAGGGTTGTTAGGGCTTGGAGTGGCACACACACAAAAAAATGTGTGGTGTTAAAATTACTTTGTATATACTATTGTAGTGGATGCAACTATGATCAAAACTGGGTTATGAATGACAGTAATAAATCAATATAAGTTCTTCAGTTGTGACATGAGCCAGCCAGTTTTGGGGGGTAGGAGGATAAGATAATGGAACAGCTGTGTTTGTAGGATGGGAAGGGATTATATAGGAAATTTCTGTACTCGCCTTTCAATATTCCTGTGAAACTGACCTAAGGAGTTTTATGTAAATTTACTGGATTTGGTTCCTAGCAACACACACAATTTGAAAATAAAAATAATCATAGTCCTTTGAAATTTCAGTAACTTTACTAGATTTAGCAAGCATTAGAGGTGTTTTCTAGTTCCAACATATACCTCTCATTATTATTGTTGTTGTTGTTGTTATTATTTTGTTTTCTCCAGACAGGGTTCCCCTGTATTGCTTTGGAGGCTGTCCTGGAACTCGCTCTGTAGACCAGGCTGGCCTCACAGAGATCTACCTACCTCTGCCTCCCGAGTGCTGGGATTAAAGGCGCCTGGCTCTCACCATTAATTCTAATTATAGCAATCCTATACCCCGTCAATAAGGTGAGTATCTACAGTGTATTGAAACATATCAGATTGGTTTCATAGTGATAATCAGAAAATGAGTAAAATTGAAATGCTAGACACATTTGGATGCTATGGGAAACCAAGTTATTTCGAAAATTGGTTTTTAGGGGTGTTCTTTTTAATGCGGCAGGAGGTGGGGAGGACAAATGGTGTAAACTGAAGTTTCTTGTCCCAGCCCCTACCCAAACTACCTGGTGACTGCTTCCCAAATAATTGACGCAGGGGCTTAATATTACTTATAAATGCTCAGCCAATAACTCAGGCTTGTTATTAGTTAACCCATATTCCTTATTTATGCTGTGCCACAGGGCAGTACCTTTATGGCATGGCATGCTCATCTTCTACTCCCTCTCCATTTGGCTGGTGACTTGAGACTCCACCCTTCTCCTTCCCAGCATTCTCAGCTTGGCTCTCCTGCCTAACCTTATTCTGTTCAGCTATTGGCCAGTTGGCTTGTTTATTAAACCAATCACAGCTGCAAATCTTCACAGTGTACAAAGGGATTGTTCTACAGCATTCCCCCTTTTTGTCTACCTTAAAAAAAGGAAGGTTTTAACTTTAACATAGTAAAGTTTATATACACAACAAAAACAGTTATCAAGTAAGAATTATAGTTACAATATCTAGTCTTTATGTATTCAGAAAAATTAGAGAAAATATTCTATTATCAATTTTATCTTTGTGACCCTAAAGTTTTACATTCAATTTACTTTTTACCATAATTAAGGAAAACTGTAATTATAATTATCTAGTCTTCAACTCCATCAAAGACCCTAGAAGGATGAAATGCAACCTATTGACAGGGACATCAGACCACCTGGACAGTCACCCTAGGTCCTCTGAAATGTTGGGGCACCAATCTTTGGCCTACAGGCCTATATCTTAACAGACTTTCCTGTGAAATTTTGAAGGACTGTCCTACCTTGTCTTGGCAAAGTTTAGCAGCTCCTGATTTTTTTTTTTTCATCCTGCTGGTCCAATTTGGACAGTAACTGTCAGCAATTGAGGCAAGGGCTAGCTTTTGCCATAAAGAACACAAACTCCATATAGAGTTTCTTCAATGCCCATCATCTTCTCTGAAGTAGATTGGTGCTGACAGGAGCAGACGTTTCTCACTGTCATAAAAAGCCTAAATTATTAAAACATTTTAAATGCCATATTCTGTAAGTCTTTGAAGTGTTTGAAGACCGTCTATTTAAATATATTTGGTATGAACTTGAAAATCCAACTAACATGACTATAAGTTTGACTATTATAGATGACTATTAATCTGTATTTTTAATTATATATTTCTAAATGAGCTGTACAAACACAATACCTTAAACAAGAGTAGAACAAGGTATAACAAAATTAACTTTAAATTTGTATCAATATACCAAAATCCATACCTGTAAAATATTTAAGACTAGTAGTTGCTGTTTTGGTTTAAAAGTAGATTCAGTAGTCTACCCTTTCATGCTATTTCTGTATCCCCCTCTCTCCTATTCAGAAGGACATTGTTGAATCCACTCTCCTTTGTTCAGCTTTTTTCTGACTATTACCAATAACAGCTTGTAACCAACTCTGCTAAATTGATCACAAACATCCATAACCATTTTTTTTAAAATGTGGGCATAGTTTTCTAGATTACTTTTTGTTGATTGGAGGCACTGATAATCTTTGGGAGCCCCCCAAAAAATTTAGGATTATGATCAAGTCTTGACTAGAGTATTCTGTGAGGCTGGATCATCCCAGCCAGTAGCCTTGAAGCTGTTGTAGAACTCAAAGGAAACTGCAACAAAGGCGCTCTGTAACACTGGATCATCTGGGCCACCTATTCCCATTGGAGATTTTTCAGGGGGTATTCCTTGATCAAACCTGATTTTTCTTAACCCAGAATGAATCCACAGCCTCTCATTTCCTGTGAAAATAAAAGCAGAACCTCTTTCCAAAGTAACATATCTTTTGATATATAAATACACACTAGGGCCTTACACATGTAATCACTAGGTTCAAGTCCACAGAAACTCAGTAGAAAAATAGTTCTTTAACAGGTAGGGAAATGAAAAAGAACAGAGTAAAAGAGATTTAAAACACATAAGCCAATCACCATTTAGGTGTCTTGTTTGAATCCTGACTTGAACAAAGGAAGCAACATATATATATGTTATATATGTATGTATGTGTATACATACATATATATATACATATATTTAAAATTTGAGAACAGACTAAATATGTTGATACACTGTAGATCAATATTTTAAGTATAATAATAATATTCATAAAAGTCTCTTTTGCAGATACATAATGAACTATTAAGGTATCAGATCTGCTTTTATTGATTAATGGCTTACAGGGTAATGTGAAGAAGTAAGATTGGTCATGAGTTGATAATTATTGGGTCTAAGTGAGGAATATGCAGGAGTTCTCTGCAGTTTGTGAGCTTGATATTCTAGAGAATAAAATATCTAAGCGGATACTGACTGTCTGTTATTTGGCATGCATTGTGCTGATAGAGAGTTTTCATTGGTCAGTATACTGACATAAATTGTCACTGGCTTTGTGGATGGTTTGTGCTCCAGGAGGAGGCAGATGGCAATGTTAATAAGAACACAGTGCAGACTGTTGATGTAGTGACAACAACAGTTCAGTGATAGTCACAGTGCAGACTGTTGATGTGGTGACAACAGTTCACTGATAGTCACAGTGAAGGCTGTTGGTGTAGTGACAACAGTTCAGTGATAGTCACAGTGCAGACCCTTCCACTAGGCTGGAAGGAGTGGGCGGGCCCCTCTGAGGCAGTGCCACCTGCCAGCTTGTGATGGCTGCACCCAGGCGTGGGAGGGTTGACATGGTCCTTGATGTGGCTCTGCCCTTCTCTCCTATGAGGGCAGATGTTTTCATGTCTCGTCACTTGGCTTAATATTTCTCTTATTGACCCTCTGTTTCCTATTTATATGTGTCTGGCTTGGAATTCAAAGCACAAACTCTAGGCTTGCTTGCAGATCTGGCATAATATTATATGCCCTGGATATGTAATACATAGTATTTACTTTTGGTGAAGGTTTTTTTTTTTTTTCATATAGATTTTTCAAGAGATTGTAAATGTGGGTAAGAATAGTCTTGTGTCTTGAATGAAAGAATCAGCAGTGAAAATGACACTTGAAGAGCATCCTTGTAACCCTGGAAAATAAGGAAATATGTCTTGGGTCCTGGACTATAGATTGCTATTATAGCTGTAAGTCCTGTCCGGTAGTTACCATCTGGCTGTTTGAGAAAAAAGAAATCTTTTTTTTTTTCTTACACTGATTAAAAGGTGCTGTGTTGTTATTACTATTTCAGAACCACATTTTCCAATAATAGGCACAGTGGAGTGATTCAGTAAATATTAAATAAACAAATGATCACTATCTTACATAAACTCCAAATCTCTCTCTAGGAGTCTCTCAGAACATTGTACTGTTCTGAATTGGTAACTCTTTCCCGTGCTCTCCTCCTCTCTGAATATTACTCCACAGACTAGCCTTTCCGGAGTGCCCTCTTAGGATTCTGAGTGTGTGGGTGTGTTTCATATGTATGCATGCTGTGTACTCAAGGAGGTGGTGTTTACTTTCACAGCAGCATTCTTTCCATTTTCCCATTTAGAAATATCACAGATGCCACGCTTGCCATTGTGAAAGGAGAGACCATCCCGCTTGACGTCTTGCAGATCAAGGTAAAATCTTTCCTTCAGATTTTGAAAAAGTTAATGGAGTAATAATAAGAACACCCTGAAGAAAATAAAGTTTAAACAGTTCACATGGGATTATGTTGAACTTGGCATTCTTTTTCTCTTCCTATCCCCAGAAAAGCACTATGCATGATTCTGTTATCACTAATTAATGTGTATATGATCCCACTTTAAATACCATTGTAGTTGGGGCTGAAGGTATAGATAAATAATAAAATGTGTGTTTACCTGTATGGGGTTTTAATCCCTAGGACCTCACCAAGAAAGGTAATTGTGATAAAAAAATTGTCATATATAATTTACAACTGTACAGGGTCATTCTAAGTCTACTCTTTGGTAGTGTTAAATGTATGATGTCATCTTTTGATACATCAGCTTTGAAATTACCTCTTGGCCCAGTGTGCTGTGAGGTATAATTGCTTCTGTGCCCTTTCATTGGCACAACCAGCAAACATATTTCTAAATCAAATTATTCTCTACAAATCTACAAATAAGAAAATGTTACACAGCTCAATAGAAAAATGTAGAATTCTAAGATGCAGGAAACAACTGAAAACCTTATTCACCACCTAAGAGTGAGAAAGATTGGACAGATAATCTTTACAGTCCTAACTATTCTTAAGCCCATGTGAAAGCTAAGATTCTAAGACAAGAAAGTGCACTGAATGATAAAGAAAGACCAGCTACTCCAGTGGGTCATGAGAAAAAGTTCACCTGTCACAGAGCGTGGATGAGACATACAGCCAGCATTTAAACAGGCACAGAAATCAGTCACCTGAAGTACTTTATGAGTCTTTTTGAAGAATGAAAATCAGCCATAATCATGGACATTTCTGAAATAAGTGAAGGTACTGTACATGGACTGCATTTCAACATTAGATTCTCCAAGAGCACTGCATACCCTTCAACAACCCCCCCTACCCCCCATATAAGTCCTTACTCTTGGGAGGTAATGGCTGAGATAGTCTGGGTGATGTCTATAACTGCAAACCTAACAACACTACTAAACATACATAGGGGCTGGAGAAAGAGCACTGGCTGTTGTTTTAGAGGAGCCAGGTTTGGTTCTCAACAGCCACATAGGACAGCTTAGAACCTGCTGAAACTACAGATCTAGAGAATCTGATGCCCTCTTCTGGCCAATGTGGGCACTGCATGTATGTGGTGCACAGACAGGCATACAAATAAAAACAAAACAAGATAAAAACAGAAAAGTATAAAGAGAACACTTTGGCAATGCTTTAGGTGAGAGGTATATATAATGTTCATTACACTATTTATGGTTTTGCTTTTACATTGTTTTCCAAAATAAAGAGGGGTAAGGAAGAAATGGTTCATTAGCAATTTCTAATTTTTGGTCAGTATCCTTTTAAAGTCCTAGAAAATAAGATAAAGAATTTTGGATAGGAGTTAAGCAAGTATTCTCCCTTCATCTAACTTAAAAACAAAACACAGTTAAAGAGAAACAGGATAATTTAAGTTGGAAAAGCTGGCTAGAAACAAGCCAAGCTAAGGTCAGTATTTATTTGGGAGCAGGGTGGTGGGCCCCCAAAAGAGTTAACAAACCAACAACAGTAAACTTACAAATTTACAGCCAAGTTTCCTTTAATTTTTCTTCATGCAGCGATGTCTAGACTTTCCATCATGATCTCATTAGTCATAATCTAAATTGCAATTGCTCTTTAGCATGTAATACAGCTAAGTTGTTTTCACAAAACAGAAGGACTATATTAAAGGATAACTAGTAGAGATTGTTATCTGTAAAGACATTGTTGTAAAATATGATTATTACCAAAGGAGGCAAGAGTCAAGGAGACTTTTTTAAATAACTCAGTGATTTAGTAATAAATATATATACATATATATATATATTCACACATATATGTATATATATATATGTATTTGAAGTGATATATTGCAAAGTAAATTAAATTTAACTGGAAATACTTGCTGTGCTTGTACTCAAGTGTCTCTTGTCTCAACCCTCTTCTCTCATACACTGATTTTGTAAATTGATGTCAGATTTTTTACAATCTCTGTATATTAATGACACAGCCCAGGAAGCAGGAAAATTTTAATCAGTTCTTAGAAAATGTGGAGCAGTAGCTTCTACCCTAGTTTCTGAGGAACCAGTTTAGTTTAATTGATTTTTTTCCTCTTTCTATTTCTGAAAATTGCTTTCAGAATGTGAAGAAAAATCTCTGTAGACAAAGCGTGATACCACAGGCGTTATAGGTAATGTGTGATGCCTGTCCTTCCTTCCACAAGCACCACAACCTGGCCATGGGAACTGAAGATTCCCAGAGTCCAGAAATCAGGAATATAATAGCATCATATTTAGCTTGTTCACTGTTCAGTGTGTGCTCACACGTCACTGAACGTTCAATGTGGCGGGGCACTCAAGATGCGTGTTGTCCTGTGATGTGTGATAAAAGACCACAGGTAGAAGGCAGGCAAGAAACCAGGTTAGCTCCATCTTCAAAACCTATCCAGAGACCAGCATCTCTTCCTGAGTCTCTCGTGCCACCCAGGTGATTTTAATCTTACTGCAGAGCTCTCTGACTATGACCTGGCCTCCCCATGGGCTGTTTTCTCAACAACCAATGTGTGATTACAAGTTAGGGCACATCGCTTCTCTGCTCAAAGCCCTCAGTAGTGTCTCTTCCCTGAATAAAAGCCAAGGTCATTCAGAGGCCTTTAAGGTCTTTAATCTGAATGATACTGATTTTGTCTCTGTTCAGATGGCACTTATCAACTGCATCTTCTCTTTTCTCCTACATCAACTAGTAATTTGTCCTCCTAGCAGTATCTTTGAAATACTTATTTTGGCTCTACTGTGCTCTCACCATATTGTTTATAGTTTCTCTCTTGTTGAGACCTAAGCGGAGGATTAGCAGAAACTCTCTTTGCTTGACTGGTAGTGTTCTATCTCCCTGTTGGTTGCTGATGCCTCACTGCTTGGTCTCTAATGGGCTCTTGTATGGATTCCTTTTTGTATACCTCCCCACGACATTGTATTTTGAGGTTGGAAATCTGTTTTAGCTCCATTTCTTTGAACTCCTCCTTTAGTTTTCAGGCTAAGTTTCTCAGTAGCCTCTTCATGCTTGAGTGCCTTAGCCGCTGGCCCACAACTCTCAGATGAAATACTCTCTACTTGGTACCCAGAGGTAAATGTGTCCTTGCTATGCCAAGCTGCCTCACCTGCGCATCTCTGTCTGCTCTGCCCTCTCTCAATCTAGTTCATTCTCCCCATTGCTTGTTTGAGTACAGAGAGTAGAAGAGCCAGTCTCCTGCATGAGGAGGTCCACAGCAAAGGGGTGGGAAGTCAGCGTCTACTTATGCAGTTTTCTTACAAATCCCCTTGCCTGGCTTTGACACAATGGAATGATGCTGATGCTGGATTGTAGGAGCCCTTGACCCCATAAGAACAAGATGCAAGATGCCAGGCCAGCAACTTCCAGTGCCAAAGAGCCTCCGGCTGCCCCCAGCCCAGGTCTTGATCTGAGCTTATATTAGTCAGGGCACAGAATTGATGGTATGGAAGAGTCCAAGTTGGTCCCTCTGTCTTTCAGCAAACTCTATGGAGTTGTGTAGAGTATGGTGCCTCTTCTTAGAATGTGGGACCTTATACCTAGCCCTTTTCAGCTATTGGAACTTAGCTACTCAGAATTACAGCTAGTATGTTCCCTTGCCAGCAGATTCATGAGAACTAATTCAAGTGTGCATCATTCAAGCACTCTTACCATGTGTTCATAGGGTTAATTGTTTTAATATTTGAACTTATATATAAAATGTTTGGTTTGGTGAGAAGCAGGCCAAGAACATTTTCTAGATATGAATTTACTTTATTCACAGAGCTAAATCAAGTGTATTTAACTTGCAGGGCGAAAAGGAGCAACCTGTATTTGCAATGACTGGCCTCCGATGGGGATCCTTCAGAGATGCTGGCGTGAACGTTAGCAAGTAAAGGATTACTATGTTAATATGTAATGGTTGTTTAAAAGTTTTATTCCATCCTTGTTTTTGAGGTTTTAAAATACAATAGTCTACGAGTAAATCCTTAGGGCCACGAAGCTGTATTATTAGGTATTGATAATGAAATAGGAGCACCCTGGTAAGAAATGGATGTCTGTAGGCTGAAAGGACAGGGAAGTTCCATAAAGAGAAGGACATGGTTAGCTTAGGTTCAAGCTATGTAGAAGGAGGAACCAGCATTGCTAAACATACAGCAGCATGCTTAGCTGAACCCCAAGGTTGCTGCTTGTGCCTTGGCCTCAGGGAGCCTTACAGTCCTAGGTGGTCCGCACACTCTGTGTGGGGTATTGTTTGAAAAAGCCTGTAAGTGGAGAGGCCATGGGCTGCTCCTTTGAAGGGAGAAAGATGGGTATCTGGCTTTGCTGACCAGAAGAACAGGCTCAGGGGGAGTGACTGATGGGCCGCCGCTGGCTTCCATGGGAATAGACTTAGTTTTGAAGACCTTGAAACTTCTGGCTAGGAAAGAAGAATGGAGGGGTAGTGAGGCCTGGCCTTCTGAGGTAGGACTGAAGGAGACAATGTGCAAGACTCATTTCATTTCTAGTGGAGCGTCCTCCTTCCATTGCCTACCGCCCAGGGCTTACAGTTTTAGTAGAGGTTACTGAGTTACGACTGGTTTCATGCATAACTCTCCTCAAGAATCCTCTCTTGCAATTCATGGGCCAGACTGCCAAACTTTCTTCACAGAAATCTCTCACATGCTTCGCTCTATTATCTCTGGTAATGAAATTCCTGACAGTGAAATGTCAGTGGGAAAGTACTGCTGTATCTCATTACACACTACAGCCTTAAATCTTCACATCTTTTTGTTTGCAATGGTTATGTTGATTCCACAAATTACCCTGTGTTTGATCTGTCATCTCAGATTCCCATGGCTCACTGAGAGGAACTGCTTAGCTGTATTTGAGAAAGTCTGCTTAGGACAAATTGCTTTCCAAAGTGATCAACAGTTCAGTGCTAGCACAGGTCAGCTGTCTTAGGCTGGCTTCTGAACAGAGTTTCAAAGTCTGCAGGCGGTCACATAATACCCTGACTGGAACTGACTGCTGAGTTATTTTTGGTGTGAAATAAGAAACATTCCCTTGTTGGCCATAGGAAGACTACAAGCATAGTGTCCAAATTTACTACTGTCAAAGGTGCAAGGAACTGCTGATACTTTAGAAATAAGCCAACTGAATCAGGGTGTTTTTCTAGCTGGCTAATTGGGAAAAGGAATAAACCGTAAAGAACTTCAGAACTACCAGAAAATATCAAACATCGAAGACCCTCATTAATACCATCAGAATACTAATCTGAATGATAATTTAGAATGGCTCCACTTTGGCTTTGTCTAACTTCCTTATTCTGGGACTTTGGGCCCAATTTCCTGTGCACTGTCCCTAATGACCAGTTCTGGGTTTTTATTTAAGCCTTGTCCTTTCTCTGGCTGCCAAACCTCTTCCTAGCTAAAGTTATTTTCCTCCCTCTCTCATTTGTCTCGATTCAGTTCACTCCCAGTCACTCTCTGCTCCAAACCTGTACTTATCCTTGTCAGCTTTACTGCACAACATGGCCACTCTATTGCTTTTTTCTTGGCTTCTCTTACCAATAAATAAATAGTGATCTGTTTATACCACAACATATGTAGTCACTTATTATTGACTATTATTTAGGGGCCCAAAGATAGGAATTTCATACTGTGTTCTATATGTTTATACTCTATGTGTCTTTCTCCCTGTATGTAATAGGAGGAGATAAACAAAGGCGTTCTGGCATGAATCAATCAGGAGGAGTCAAGTATCATGGTGGTGTCAGAGCTAATCTAAAGAATAGCATCTATATCACTTTCTTTTTTGGGGGAGTGGGGGGTTTGAGACAGGGTTTCTCTGTGGCTTTGGAGACTGGAACTAGCTCTTGTAGACCAGGCTGGCCTCAAACTCACAGAGATCCGCCTGCCTCTGCCTCCCTAGTGCTGTGATTTACAGGCATGTGCCAGCAACGCCCGGCCTATATCACTTTCTAATTGCAACCTTGCATCTTCCTTTTCTAGTGCTTTTATGTGCTGAGCAATATGCAATATATTTTCACTCTGAGACTTAACAGTTGGTATATTAAAGCTATATAACACGAGCAATGGAATTATAATGTGTGTGCATTTTGTGTGAGAGTGTCCATGGGATACAGGATCCAGTCTTGTGTCTTATAACCCAGCAGCCACACAGCATCTGTAATACAGTGTCTCTATGTGGCTTTATTGCTCTCTTCCTGTGGCCCTTTTAAGAGAATGCTCAACCTATTCTATGGGTGAAAGTCTGTATTATAATAACTTAGGCTATATACATCACTTATTAACTATAAGAATCTTTCTACCATCTAATTGCATATTGTTAGGAGATTTGCCATTAAAATTTAGGTTACAAATGTATTATATTATGCTATAATCTTCAAGCCCTTAAAGCACTGAATCACAGGAGAGGTGCAGTCCTGATGAATTGTCTTAGATGATATCTAGCACGCTGGTAGCTCTTTTCATCTTTTTTATCTTGGTTTTTCTTAGGTACTGGTATCTTGGTCCACTAAAAATCAAAGCAGCCCATTTTTTCAGCACTCTTCAGGTAAATGCAATTTACAATGTAGAACTTGACCTATGTTAATTTGATGTTTCTTTATGATGTGTTTATTTGAGGTACTAATTCCTTGCTACAGAGCCATATCACTAAAATGGGGTCATTTGATTTATATAATTTCAGAAAACATTCCTGTTTTGATAGACAAGCACCCCTCATATCTCTATATCTACATATCTATCTATCTATCTATCTATCTATCTATCTATCTATCCATCCATCCATCCATCCATCCATTCATTCATCCATCTATCCTCATTCTCTCCATGGCCAAGCCCATGTTTACTTGTCTTGGATACTTGCCTTTGCTACTCATTCAACCAAACAAATGTAGAATGTCTAGATCATTAATATGTGTATCTATATTAGTATCTGACCATGAACTGAAGATTTGTAATAGATAAATTAATTATATGGGAGTGTATATATTATTATCAGTAGGTTTTAAACTGTGTTGGTTAAATAAGTATAGTTCTTGCTATATTGGATAGTACTGATAAAGAACACTTCCCTTATCACAAAGTCCTGCTGGGCAGTGCCTTATATATAACACATTCAAAAGTAGTAAGGTCTGAGGCTGTAGCTTAGCACAATGGCAGAGCACTTGCCTAGCATGTATAAAGAATTTGATTTACCCGGTTTGATTACCAATGAGAGAGTACAGGTGCATAGAAGAGAGGCTCAACAATTTCTTATTAATGAGAAAGCAAATAGGAAAGTCACTCAATAGATGAACTATATGCTGTGTTGTCTTTCATGCAGACCATAGTCTGGTTGCCTAATGTCAAAATCAGTGTGAGAAACTAGACTCCAGTGTTAATATTTAGAGTTATCTGGTGGTGGTGGTGGTGGTGGTGGTGGTGGTGGTGTATGTGTGTGTGTGTGTGTGTGTACACTTTTAAAAAGGTACTTGGGTTAAAAAAAACTAAAGTCAGTAAAATTCTTGGAATAAACACACACAATTTTAAAAATAATCACATAGAAAAGGCAAGGCCTTTCTTTCTACTCCTAAGGCAAACTGAGTATTATTGTTAAGGAGAATAATTTACCTGGTGAAGTAGTACCACCTAGGCAGAAACAGTAGCCATATGTTTAAATGATGGCATCCATCGAGTGCTATTGCTCTGTGATTGGCAGACAGAACACAAAGTGCACAGGCTTTCTGGCCTCAGAAAGTAGTCCTGTGCCAGAGAGAAGCGCAGGGGAACAGCAGCCTGACAGGTGGCGGGACAGAAATACAGACGGGCAAGAGAAGAACAGAGGAGGGCCCCCCTAAACTTGACTGAGGGTCAGAAAGCCTTCTGAGGGAGGTGGATAAAGGGCTTTGGGGATGGAGAAATGGGCTGTGTGAAGTCATGTGACAAATCACGGTCATTACTTCAGACCAGTGCAGTAGAATCTCTGCAGATGGAACTAGAAGGCTAGGGCTGACTTGGGCAGGTATGGTATACAGATCTGCACTGCGGAAAAACTGTGTGGCCTCAACATGCAGTTGGGCATGAGTAGCTATGGGCAAAACAGCAGACAGAAGATAGATCAAGTCATCCAGTGATAGGGAAAGAAAGAGTAAGTGTAGACTGAGGTTGCTAACGGCAGGTGGATCGAAGTGTTACTGAAGTAAAATTCCCAGATGCTGAAAGAATATTAGATTGTGAGATTTCTAGTCTGGGGGCTTGAGTTGTGTAACTTAAGTGTTTATTATTATTATTATTAATGTTGATGATATTAGGGTAAGACCAAGTTTATGGAGAAAGATGAAATTTTAGTTTGTTATGTGGTCAGTGTAGCATATTGATGGTACAACAGCAGGAGCCTAAATAAGAACAGGGGACTGTCCTCTGGACTTGGTAGCTGCCAAAGGTTTGACAAGCTCCAAAGTAACGGGGGTTAGATTATAACAGAGGAAGGTAAGAAATAAATGGGAGGAAAAGCAATGGAGACAGTGGAGGTGAGGGTGGGGCACACCTTTTAATCCAGCACTTGGGAGGCAGAGGAAGACAGATCTGTGAGTTTGAGGCCAGCCTGGTCTACAGAGGAGTTCCAGGACAGCCAGGACTACACAGAGAAACCCTGTCTTGAAAAATGAGAGAGAGAGAGAGAGAGAGAGAGAGAGAGAGAGAGAGAGAGAGAGAGAGAGAGTTCCCCCACCAAAATAAATGTTAAGCCCTGATTTAAGGGTCTCCCTCCCTCCCTGATACTACTACTACTAATAATAATAATAAGATAAAAATGTATAAAAATATCTAGTGTGAGAATGATATGCTTTGAGTCAGTGATGAGGCGTCAGGTTGCATTTGAACTGAGTCTTAGCCAAAGCATTCTGTCCTCCACATAGAGTGTGATACCAGCAGTGAAGTAGGCGTTGGATGTAGGTTTTTGCATTCCATTGATAAACTAAAGGTAAGTTTATTATGGGATCACTCTGCTCATTCATATTGATTTCTATTGTTTGGATAAGTAAGTATGAGCAGTAGCTGTCAGTTCAATTTGGTTTTCTCTCTGTTGTATGTTAGGGAAAGTAATAGAGACCAGACCATAGGTCACTGTATTCGTGGTTTTTAAGTCAAGATTTGGAGAGGAAAAGGAAGCTTGAAGGCTTCATATTCCAAAGTAGAGAGAACTCTGCCCACTGAAGACACAATTAGCTTGTTAGAATTGTGACCTTCGCAGAGCAAAGCCCCGGGTTAGGAATTATATGTACATGTTGAAAACTATCTTCTTCTTTGTTAACAGGAGTGGCCTCAGACTCATCAGGCCTCCATCTCTTACACGGGACCTAAAGAAAGATCTGCTAGTGAACCCGAAGAGACCCCTCCCCGACCTTGGCTGTATAGGAGAATACTACGAAGGCTTGCCTCATTCTGGGCACAGCCACAGGATGGTGAGCAACATGGTGACTGTGGGTTACAAGCTCTGCCCAGCTTCAAAATGCTCTGGAGTAGACACCCAGAATCAGTTCTAGACACTTAACCAGAGCAGGGGCTGTTCCAGTTGAACTCTGACTTCAGGTGTTGGCAGGGCAGGCTTCAATGGCTTGTGAATGTGCACAGCAATTTCTGTGTCCTCCCTGTCACTGTCCTTTGTGCTGTTGTGCCTGCTTTCAGTGAGCATGTTTTAGGCATAGGGAACCAGTGTTTATCCCTGCGTATAGGAAAGATGAAGTCAAGTACAGAATTGGACAAAGGGTTGAGGAAGCCAAGCACAGTTATTAGCAGCTCAGTAGTTTGGTGTGTGTGTGTGTGTGTGTGTGTGTGTGTGTGTGTGTGTGAGAGAGAGAAGGGCTGAGGAAGCTAAGCACAGTTATCAGTAGCTCAGTAGTTTGGGGTGGGTGGGTGTGTGTGTGAGAGAGAGAAGGGCTGAGGAAGCTAAGCACAGTTATCAGTAGCTCAGTAGTTTGGGGGGGGGGGGTGTGATGCCAGTAGATGCACTGACCCATGTCTGATGGATTCCCTCAGCCTTCTCCCGAGAGGTGAGCCCAGAGGTCTGGAAAGATGTACAACTGTCCACCATTGAGCTGTCTATCACAACCCGAAACAGCCAACTTGACCTGATGGTAAGTGTCCTCATTTTTAAAAGAAGAATTTGGTGCCTGGGGGAAAATGACAGGTGCCTTTCTTGCACTAATTATTTTTACATTTTACTCCATGAGCATGGAGATGAAAGGACACTATTATGGTGTGCCTTTGAGAGACAGCAGCATTGAGACGTGGTAGTTGAGTGTGTCGGGCACAGGAGCTCAAGGAGCTTTGAACAAGTATTTTGCTAATGTTTTGGTGACCTTATGGAGGACTCAGGAAAAAGCTGAGCTTTCACTTGAGTAAACATGCATCACTTTTGTGAGTATATTAAGTACACAGACTCAGATTCCCCAGGAGAAACACACAGCCCTAGCTCCACACATGTGGGGGTGGGTTCTGTTTGCTTCTGGTGAGACAGGGTCTTGCTGTGCAGTAGAAGCTAGCCCCAGACTGTGATCTTCCTGTCAGTCTCCTGAATGGTGGAATTACAGGCCGGTGTGCCATGTGTGGACAAGCCACCATACATATTTTAATTTGGATATAAATTTGGATGCATGCACTGTCCAAAGCAGTAGCTACTAGCCTTATGTGGCCATTGAAATTTAAAGTACACAGGACTAAAATACAGTTTAAAATGCAGTTCCTCAGCCATGGGAGCCATATTCCATGTACTCATTAGGCACGTTTAGACATGAACATCTCCATTAATGTAGAAAATTCTGTTGGCATATGTGAAAGTCACATTTCAGAATCCAGCATAAAGCAATATTGTGACACATATGTGTTCCTTTATTTGTATTGTTCACATAAGCCTTGCAGCACTGTGGATGAGGTGGAGTAGTTGTGATAGCTTGTGTAGCCCCAAAGCGTTGGATGTTTGCTGTTTTTGGAAAAACCATACTGGCCCTAAAATGGAGAAATCTTTAGTTATGAGTGTTAGCAACAGTGCCAGTTAAGTCATTCTCAACTGGTTAATTACTATAATATATTCTGCTTTTATGAAAATCAGAGTAGTGTATTCATGATTGTCCTGGCCAATCAGAAAACTGGCAGATGGAGCTGCAGTGTAGTAGGAAGGTTAATCCCAACATTTATGTTGGGAGTATTACTTTGTTTTCTACTGATACAAATAATTTGCTTCGCCTGTAAAATATTTTTAAACGCAGCTCCCTTTATCTTCTGAAAGAATTCCAGTTGAATTCCTCAAGTATTAGGTACAAAAGGTTTTCTAAGCATGACACCTAAGGCAAATTTTATATTGATGCATTCATCTACTAATTTAAAAAGATAAACTTCTGAATGATAATTAGGGAGAAAATTAGAATGTGGCAGGCCCGAATTTTATTAGCTTTCCTTATCACAAACTCCCCAGATAAATCAATAAGTGAACAGAGACCAAACAATGGTCCAAGGCCTAAAAATAGTAAATGCACAAAGGGAAACATTTGAGGAAAAATAGCTCATATTTGCTGAGTTTATTACGTGGGAGTCATTGTCCTAAGAATCTTACATAAATTAGTTATATTGTCCTCAGATTATACCATGTGTGTCTGTTCAAGAATACTTAATTGCATTTTATACTAAGGCTAAGGAAAAGTGTTCAGCTGGGTAGTGGTGGCACACACCTTTAATCCCAGCAATTGGGAGGCAGAGGCCAACATGGTCTACGGAGTGAGTCCCAGGACAGCCAGCACTGTTTGAAAAAGTGTTCAATGCCAAAGAAACACCAACTGGAACAGTTTCTTTGTTGGGTGATGTGCATGGGAACAGAACTCTCATCTTTCATAAGACTATCAGCTGTAACACTAGTTTGATAATGTATATAAAGTGTCTAGAACCCATGCATATCTGTACCCCTTGTCCTGGCAAGCGTAGTTGTTTAGCTTGTGGGTGTGAACAGTAAATTCTTAGCATACATAGTCTTCCCTTAAACAGAATGCTGAACCACCATGAGTTGGTGAGGTCAGAAAGTTCTTTGTTCAGAAGGATTTTTGAAAAGACGATAAAATTTCTATTACACATTTTCTTTATTCATAGTCTTTGGTAACAATGTATTCCCAGTATTTTGCTTGTGTTCTTTTCTCTGATGAATGCATTGAGATCAGTGAGCATGTGATTTCAGCTCTAGATGTGCCACATTCAGGCTGCTGAATGCTTTTATCTCTGCTAATTACAAAGATATGTGACACTGTGCTTCTTATCACTAGTGGGGTACATTCATTCTTTTTCCCTCACCACTTTGCAAAGCAAATGCAAGAAACTATTCAGACATCGTAGCTGTCATGAAATAGCTTGAAATATTTACTTATTATTAAAATTATATTTCCATAGTATAAAAACATCTTTAGGAGTGTAGAATGTCAGAAATCCGATGTCTCTTAAATCCGCATGTTTAGTCTTTAAGGGCAACATATCAAGATTGTCAAAATGAATAGTTTTATTTAAAGTAATATATAATGGTTGTTAGTTTTTCATTCAGCAATATATGGTGAGCATTCTGCCACATTAGTAAATATAAAATGATTTTCATGAGGTGGTTGGTTCCATTTTTATTTAGAAAAGAGAAACCGCCACCTATGACTGAGCTGTGTGAATGATGAAGGTGAGGCTCCAGTTTTGTTTATTCATTCCAGTGGCAGTCGTTAGGCCCATCTCCTCCCCTGGAGCTGGACAGGTGGCTGTGAAGCACCCAGTGTGGGTGCTGGGAACTGGGCTCCTGGAAGAGCAGTAAGCACTATTATCTCCTGAGCCATCTCTTCAGCCTTTGATTTTTATAAATATTTTAGAGTGCTTATTAGCTTCCTCGTAAGTTTCATAAGGTTGCACTGTACATATAGATCAGTTTGAGGAGGAATGGCATTGCTATAATGTTGACCCTTCTGGCATATCAGGGTGATGTATCTCTTCATTTACTGAGGTCTTCAATATCTTTCAATGAAGTTTTATGCTTTTCTCTATAGTGTTTGCCTATTGCTGGATATACTCCTGGTTATCTTACCTTTTATGCTATTATCAATATATCTCTTAAAACTCCATTCTCTAGCTGACCAAAGAAACATAATTGATTTTGTGTGTATGAACACACACGTTGATGGTGAATTAGCATCCTAATTAAATTCTTATTATGTTTGCCTATGGGTTCCTTTAGATTTTGCTATATCAACAGCTAACAGTGCCAGTTTTGTTTCTCCCTTTTAAACACATGATCTTTACAACCCTCTGACTTTCCTTATTTCTGTGAGGACCTCAGTGGTCCTGGACAGAAGTAATGCTTATGGGAGCCATTGCTTTGTTCTTGAATTTGATATAATTTTTGGATGCCTTTTATTAGATAAGGAAGTTTCTAATAAAGAAAAGTTGCTAGGTTTGCCCAGGGTTTTAGGCACTAAATTCTATCAAGTGTGTTTTCATCATCCCATAAGACAATAGATTCTCATTGAATCTGCCAATGTGGGTTGATTTTTGAATGGATATGAGACTATTGGCCAAGATACAGAACAAGCAATAGCTTTTTTACCTTTGTGCCTTAAACGCTGAGCAAAATCTATGAAATAACTGTTGGCCAACACTGGCAAGAAACAGCACAGGGCAGGGATCCCAGAGAGAAGGCACTCAGACGAGCCGTGCCCTATGTCTGCCTCAGCCTCCTGCATGGAGGTGGGGTTACCAGGGGTCCAAACAGGGCCTTGAGGGCCAAGCCAGGGATCCGAGGATTTTTGTAAACTTCATCTGTATTTTCACTGATGTATGAATATAAGAAGCCTACCGAGTTGAAAGCACTCCTCACAAAGTCCTAGGACCAAGAAGTGTGTTCCCACCAAGTAAAGGTGAAAACTGCTGTCAGACCTGGGGTGTTGATTCTTAAAAAGACATGTCCTTGGTAATGGGATAAAAGTAGTCTGATTCCAAGCTGACGTTTCCTCTAGCAGAATCTGGAGACTAACCGCAATCACCATTGCCAGGCAGCCTAACTTTGCCTCCGACAAAGCTGAAGGCAGCTGTCAAGAGAGAATAACCACAGGCCCACCTGGCCAGTTGCCTTCAAGCTAGGGAGTGTTACATTTTAAACAGTTGGAATCACACAGAATCCCGGTTTCTGTGGATTCTGTTGGAATGCAAACACACTAAGTACTGTGTGGCTGTTTTTACATAGCACGTAGCAGAATTTAGTGGCGACTATCCATACTTCTGATAACTCACTCTGGCCCTTAACAGAAAACACAGTCCACTCTAACTGGAGCGTGGCTGTGCTGCCCCACTGCAAGTTTAAATATGCCTCTTTTCTTCCCTTTGCATCAAATAGGTGGTGTGACTAGACAGTTTCCCTCTGCCTCCCTGCCAGCTCCCAATGCCATGTCCCATCGCTGTCCTTGCATCCACCGAACCTTTGCTGCCTCTGCTCATTTCCCTGTAATGCTCTTTACTGGCTCACTGCCTGTATCTGCAGTTAGACCCGTCTCAATTCTTAGAAGAGCAGGCAGAGTGGCCCTATTACCAAAAGCCATAACATTACCCTCCTTGAACCCTCCACTTCACTCAACCTAAAAGACCCATTCCTTAAAGTGGTCCACAGAGCCCTAACCAACCAGATGCTCCCTTCCCCCCATCTTCATCTGCCTCTCTTTCTGCTCCAGACATGGTGATTTCTTTGCAGTTCTCTGTACATTTCTGGGTTGCCCTGACCTGAAGGCTTCTGCTAGCTACTTCCCTTTGTATGGATGTCTTGTTCCTAGAATAGGGGGTTTCAAAGTATGCTCTTTAGATGGGCAGCATCAGATTACCTGGCTATTGTTTGAAGTCAAAGTTCTTGAACTTCACAGCAGCCCCTAAGCTAGGAACTCTTGAGAACTATAGCAGAGTCTCTCTTTAAAATTAACTTTTAGCTAACAGATACAGACAGGGTCCCGATGTTAACCAGCCCTCCGGGGATACCTGCTAGTAGAAAACTGCCACCCTAGATGGATACATTTCTTCTTATTCACCTCTGGGCTTCTGAACAGAGTCACCTTCTCACCTGTCTTTCTTTAAAATGCAGCCACTAGGGCTGGAGAGATGGCTCCGCAGTAGAAGAGCACCTTCTTCTCTTCTAGTAGACCCAGGCCTTCAGGACTCAGGTTCAGTTCCCAGTACCAACACAGCGACTCACAGCCATTTAATTCTAGTTCCAGAGGATCCAACAACTTTTTCTGAACACACAGTGTATGGGCATACTACACAGGCAAAACAAAGTAAATAAGTATTTAAAAATGTCTCTGCCACCAGTGTCACCGGAGGCTTGTCTATTTATGACACTTTGTAATACATCCTGGTGTACTTCTAGTATACCTATTTTCTACTATATTCAGAAATACCCAGTTTTCTTGTTCTGTCTACCCCCTACAGTCCCTACAGTGAAGTGTAAGTTCTTTGTTGGCAAAACTCTTCGTGTGTTTTGTTCAGTGATGTAACCAAAGATTCTGAGGGATTGATAAAATTCAGCGGGCATTCAGTAGGTAGTTGAATAAATGAACATTATGTCAGAACATGCGTTTGTAATTCCTAGTTGAGAGCTACAGCTGTGCTGTGGTGGTGGTACCTTTGAAACTCAGGCAACGGCTCTCAGAGGCTTGTGTATGTTCTCCCGGGCCTACGTGTTTTGAAATCCTGCAAGGCACCCTCCAGGAGGGTTGGGATTGCTTCATGAAGGCTATGCTTGTGGTGCCAGCTAATGACTAGTGGCAAACTGAGGAGGGGCACAGGAATCATGACTTTCCACAGCACTTGTAGCTCATCTTCCAGAGCTTTGTGTGGATAGAAGCACAAAGGTTACAACTAGTATTGGGGGATAAATCGGTTGGTCGCCTGTCCTGTTTGCATTTAGAGCATTTTAAAGAACTCAGGCACCTGTGGGTAACAGCTACATTAGCCCAATTTCCAAGACTTAACCATATTCTTGATATTTCTAGAGCAAAGAAGACTTTATGAACATTTGCATTGAACCTGATACTGTCAGCAAAGGAGATTTTATAATCATAGGGTAAGTGCCTGGCTGGCCCGTGGGAAATGGAGCTCCATGAAGTAACTTGTGCCATTGGACATCAAACCTTTCTGTTCAGAGTGGGCTGTCTACTTAAGACGGAGACCTGGCAAAGGCCTGTCTGTCTGGGAGCTCTTCTTTTTCATAATCGAGCTGCCATGCCTGCTGCCTGTGTACTTTTGCCTCCTCTGCTCATTTTGGGAGAAGCAGAATGTTAGTCTGCCTTTCAGTTGAAAGAATTCAGTGTTTATCGGGCCTAGAATGTGACTGGCTCCTCACTGGCCTTGGGACTCTAAGGTCATTGACTTGTCTGAATCCTTTCCCATCTGTAAAATGGAAGCATATTATCATGTCTGCTGTCTTGAGGACTGCTTGTCAGTCTCAAAGAGGCTGTTGACGTTGAATAGCACTTCCCAGTATCTTACTGTGCACACTATTCACCTTGTCTTCCTGTCCCCAGAACATCAAGGACAGACTTGAAAGGACACTGGGTACCTAGACATTTCCCAGGCTTCCCTCTTTCTAATCCAATAGACTCTTCAGAGTCTATTGCCTCAGCTGGAACTTTATTGGCTGAGAGTTCTGTGACTCTCCAGACATCCTCCAAGTATCTGAGGAGCTGCTGTGTTCCCATGCCAACCAGTAATCTGCTCGGCTGCCTTTCTCTGCATTGTCCTGGCGCTCCCTCTTGTGCCCATTTAGGGATTGGACATTGCTTCTGCAGCTGTGTCTCCATGGCTGCGTCATTATCTATTCCAGTGTAGGCAGCAGAATGTCTTTCATTAGTCTGTGTTGTTCTTGCCTTTGATACAGATTCTTCAGATACTGAATGGCTCCTTGTAGCCTTTGATTATTCCTGCTGTATAGTAAAGGGAAGAAGGAAAAAGGCTGTTCCTTCTACAGCGTGCACAAATCACACAGCATCCTAAGTTATCCGGCTACTGGTGGCAGCCATATTCAAATCTCCTTTATAAAACTGACATCTAAACAAAAAAACCCCACTGTATCTCTGAAGTTAGATGGCATTATATTTGGCATTTTACCAAGTTTCCTTTTGATAAACTGTGCAATTCATGTGAATATCTTAATGGAACATGGTGAAGCTGCTGTTGAAACTCTGATGAAAATTCCATACATGAAAGAATTGCTATTTCCAAATAACAATAGGTAATACTTTTTTTTTTTCCTTTTAGTCAAGGTCTCTTCCAGCCCACGCTTGCCTTTAACTCCCCAAGTAACTCGGGCTGGTCCTAAACTTCTGCCTCCTCCTCCCTCTCTCTGCATTTATCATAAGCCAAATGGGGTACATCTGCATTGAGGTCAAGTATGTTTGTGCCTGATTGCTTTAGTAAAGGTAAATGTGCTAAG